CATGCCGTTTCTTTGCTTGCTTAAGGAAAATAAGTCTGCAGGAGAGTAATGATTTGTTCCCTTCTTATTCTGAATAAAAGTTTACTAGCTTGTGATTTAAGCAAACCATCTGGTCCTGCTGGCGCTGCACACTGCCAAGCCTGAGCTTTCTCCTTAATATGTTACTGGAGGCAGTTAGGTGACATTCTTGATTCTCAGCTCCAGCCAGGGCTGATTTTCCCCCCTGTCTTATAATTTCTGCTTTTAAAAACCTGTGCTTGGAACATATTTTTAAATTATGAAGAATTTCTTCGTTGTTTAGTTTAAAATTTATCTCTTCTTTTACCTAACTTTCATTACCTTCTTTCTCAGTGATGATATTCAGTATTAACCAACAACTGCTTTGTGGTAGACATGTGTTGGAATAGATGTCCAAATGATGCTAGATGAATGTCTTCTCAGTTGCAGAAAAGAAGCAGAAAATTAAGTAATTCAAATTGACCTTGTTTAGAGCCAGAGAGCAAATCAGGTGAATAGTTGGAAAATCCTTGTTTGTGGCACACTCTTGCCTTGAATACTAAAATGCTTTGAAATTTATTTGGACATATGTATAATCTAGGGTAGATAGATTTTGTGGATCAGTTACTCAAATGGGAAAATTAAGCCATCTTTTGGAAAACTATGCTAACACAGAACTCTAAAAGTGTAAGTTCTGAATAAAAGGTAACACTTACTTTAAATATTGCAGACTAGATGCCAAGAAAACTTCCACAGAAACTGTTGAAGATGATTGATAAAATATGTATTATTATGTTGGCTAAAAATAAATACTGTACTCAGATTATGTGGTAAACTGGTAGGGAATTCAAAGATAAGTGCTTGATAAACTGCAACACTGGATTGTGTGTCTTGGCAGAACAAAGGAGAAGATCAAGGGCAGCCCAAGGAGAAGGAAGAGGCAGTAGGCAACCAAGTCCCTTTTAAAAAAAAACAACTAACAAAGCCCAAAATTGAGTCTTTGAAAACACTAAGAAAATTGACTATCTTTTTGTGAGACTATAAGAGAGCAGGGGAGAAAGACACATAATAAACAACATTTAGAATGATTACACATTCATAACTATTAGTCATGCAGAGGTTAAAAAAAATACCAGTGATATCTTTTGCTGGTAAATTTGAAATTTTAGACTAAATGACCAAATGCCAAGAAAAATGGAATTTAGCAAAACCAACTAAATATGAAATAAAAAAACCGTAAAAATATGAGTAATAAAAAATTTTCCCACAAGTTTCAAGCCTAGAGTTTTATACTGGTGACTTTTAGTAAACTCACAGGAAATAATTTTACTCTTACTAAAACAATTCTGAAAGGAAAAAAAAAAAGGTGCCTCTGCTCCACATGGCTCATTTTGGAACACAGCTCCAGCAGCAGCTACTTTGTATGTTACTCTCTTGGCATTGGTAGAAATGCAACCCAAATACACAGAATTTGAACCTCTGCTTGTATCAAATAAGCTAGAATCTCATTGCCCAAAGCAAGACACATAGGCTAGGCAAAATTAAAGCCTGTCTGCCCAGAGGGAGATAATGGCAGGTTATGGGTGTAGGTGAATGAATAATTGAAATCCTTAGTTGTATCTCTCAGTAAAGCTATGTAGGAAATTCCATATGACTTTGGGAAAAGAAAGAGATTTTTCTCTATATAAGAGTATGTCATCTTCAACTGGTTTTGGTTTATGTCTTTCCCATGTGGATTTTTTTTTTTTGCATGTGCCAATTTTCCTGGATATCATCTCTAGTATAATGTTAAATAGAAATGGTGAGAGCAAATATTCTGGTCTTATTCTTGGGCCTGGTTTTAGAGAGAAACACTTTTTTTTTTAACCATGGATGTTCTTTATTAGTTGAGGAAGCTCTCTTCTATTCCTATTTTTAAATGTTTTACCAAGAAAGTGTGTTGTCAAGTTTTTAAGGCCTTTTCTACATTTATTGAGATAAGCATACAATTTTTGTACTGTATTCTATTAATACACTGTTACAATGATTGCTTTTTTATGTTAAATCAAAGGACATTCTTTGAATAAACCCTAGTGTTTACGCAGGAATTTTACATCTATATTTATAGAGGGTATGGATTTTTAAAGTGTTTTTCTCCAGATATCTTTTTCTTTCTGTTCTCAGTCCTTCTGTTTCCTGCCCTCCCTCTCACTCTCTCTTGAAATCTGCAAATCGTTTGTACATTTTTTGTCTCAAATGTGGAATTAGCCATTTTTTCCAAGGCACTTATTCAATCTAGTGGTACACCTTAACTTTAGTGCTAGAATGGTCAGTAATGTTGGAGTCTAATTGTGTCTTGTTTCTGGAAGTTGACTACTGCATATAGATGTGTGTTTTTATGTTAATTTTGTAATATGTACAAAATTTTCATATACCTGCCACATTTCACATTGCTCATTTACAACATTTAAAGGTGATTTTATATACATCATGAAGCATTGTTGAATTTTCCTAACTTTATAAGTAGTCTTTAAATAATTTCTGATCTTTTGCAAAGTGCAGCGTTCTAACCACGACTGTTGAAGTCCTTGGTTGTTTATGGTCCTGAGTCAGTTGACTATCCATATAAATGACTATCCATAAAAACTGAATTATGATGATCATTACAATGTAAACAGAAATCAGTTACATATATATTGTATATTTAAACATGAAACAATAAAGGATTTGTAAGAAAGGATGGAAAATACCCTCATGGTTATGAGGTAGACAATCTTATTCAGCATACAAAATGTTGTGAACATATAAAAATATAAATAAAAATTTATTTAATTTCATTAAGGTTAAAAACTCTTTATCAAAAGTATCTTAAATAAATTTTGGTACTTTCGCACAGTTGGAACATCATACAGTTTTGAGAATTACTGAACTGCAATTTTACCCAAAAACATGGACAAATTTCACAAATACAATACTGAGTGAAATATCTATAAAATTGTATGCCACATAATTACACTTGTACAAAATTAAATGAATAATAATCCAGAGTGTGGGAAAGGAGAATAGTAACTATCCTTTATCTAGAAAGTAGATACCAGGCAGTTGCTAGTATTCTGGAAATGTCCTGTGTATTGATCTGTGCGTTAATTGTGTAGATGCATTTACTTGGAGATGCTTCTTCAAGCTGTACATTTATTGAGTTTTTCTTTTTATATACATTGTATTTCAATAATGTTTACCAATAATTTAGATGTTTAGAAATATGTGTATTGCTTCCTTTTCGGGAGAAAAAGGTAGATTCAGTTATTTATACATACTTGCTTGTGTATGTGTATCTCCAAGTTATATAAGCTGTATCTCCAAGTTTTGTAAGAAATTGATATCATTTGTTACATAGAGTGATGAAAGTTAGATGGTAGGCAAACTTTTTTAACTTATTTAGTTAATTTTGTAAAGGATGGAATATGCTGTGTTTCATGTTTTTTGTTTTGGACTTTTTTGGTGTGTTTTTTTGTTGGTTTGTTTGTTTTCATTTTTTGAGACAGGGTCTTGCTGTGTAGTTCAGGCTGGCTTTGAACTCACTGTGTAGCCCAGACTGGCCTTGAACTCTTGCGATCCTCCTGAGTGCTGAGATTATGAGTATGCACTATCATTTTTGGCCTATTATTCATATCTTAGAGTTTCTTTTCCACTACTGAATTTGTGCTATCGTAAGAACCTCAATGTAGTGTTTCTACCCAATTTTAGACAAGATTTTATGTGAACGACATTGATAAAATGGAACCATTAGCAGTTCTTAGAATGGCAGATATAGCGATATATAGATATATCGCTATATCTATATCTATATATATACATACACACTTACAAAACTTGCAGGTGTGAATACTTATCTGAGGAGATCTGCATAACATTATATTCTTATAGAAACTTGGACTGTGATCATTTCTGTAAAGATAAAGTAACACAGATGCCAAAAACCTAAATGTGTCACCCACTTCTACCAGTGTTAGCAGCTGATACCAAGCAACACAAGAAATGGTTACATATGCATCTTTAATTTCTATGGATCTATGAACAACTCTGTTATTTCCGTTACAGTTCTGCATCGAGTATCACACAAATTGTCTTAATGTAGGAGCAATGAATAATAGATGTCCTACCTCTGCCTATCTCACCTCTATTTCTGAATAGACTTGTTGTCACCAAGACTATTTCTTGGCAAGCTGCATCCTGATAAAAATTCTTGTGTTTGGTACAGTGGGCTGTGTGCTTACCTGGCTGAAGTTACATTTTGGTAACAACATGTTTTCATCAACATAGTTTTTGCTTCTGAATTAAAATGAACATGTTTATTTAAATAATTTTGATTTGGTAAACAATCAGAGTAAGTAGAAATTACTGTACATACTTTGCTACATTGGTGTGTTAACTGTTGTTATTTTTACCTTGGTTGATATTTTGTTTTTGGGTCTTTTCAAAGCATTCCTCTCCTTTCTATGTAGTGATGTGTTTTCATTTTTTTCCTGACTGCCTTTCAAAAAAACCCCCCTTTTATATGCTGAATCTGTTAGTCAAATTCATGACCTTTATTTCCTAAAAATCCTACAATAGTTATGTTTTTGTTAATATTTGTATTTTATGTGATTTATTATGTTTGTTATATATGTATTTTGTGTGAATATAAAATGTACCTTCTTGAACTGTGACTTATAAACCTTAGGCAAACAACTTGTATATATATATTTCTTTCTGACATAAACTAAAAATAATTGTGTTGGGATATCCTTATCTGCTATATCTTTTTAATATATATGCCTGATCTGGGGAAAATATAGAAATTTTTATGTGTTTTTAAAAATAAATTTATCTTGTTTTAACTCCCCCCCAAAATCTCCCCCTTCTATGTGTTCTTATGTAGAGTATCCTCAAATTTTGGGGGCCCAGGAGTTGCCTATGACCCACTTCCTCTGACATTAATTAAGCAGAATGTTTTCCTTTTCTCTTTACCATACTTATCATAGGTGGAAGAGTTGTTGATTGCCATGGAAAAAGTCAGACAAGAACTAGAGTCCATGAAAGCAAAGCTGTCCTCAACCCAGCAGTCTCTGGCAGAAAAGGAAACTCATTTGACCAATCTTCGGGCAGAGAGAAGGAAACACTTGGAAGAAGTTCTGGAAATGAAGTATGTTTAAAACCTTTGGGCACATGCTTAGTAGAAATGCTTTTTCTAGTGGCTTTCATCTTGTGGCTTTGTTTTACTCCTAGAACACTTAGCCTCATTGTAGTGCTAGCTTGTATGTCTCACTAACAAATTTGGTAAAAAGCACTATGCATATTGATCAAACAGAATTATTTAACTTTTTTGCAGTGAATTTTAAAGTACTTTAGTGTGTATTTTTCTGTGTCTAATTACGTTTCTGAAATCTAAAGTTCACATAAATTGGTCAGCTAACTGGGGAAGTAGACTTACTGGTTCTGAGATGGTATGAAGACTAGGCAATTTTTAAAACTACCTCTTATTATAAACTTCCCACAGGCATACAAAAGTACAGAATAGTATAATGAATTCCTTTGTGTGCCTTTTTCTCAGATTTAACATTTTGCCATACTAGAAGGTAATTTTTTACAAAATGGTTACTTTCAGCAAAGCTGTACTCTGCCTCATTTACCTACTTGCCCCACATCTTGTATATTCCAGAGATTATATACTGTTGTAAAGTATGTATATCTACTAGTACATAATAGATGCTGCTTTTCTCCTGTGTCATCTCATGTTTAGAACAAGTGTGTGTCTTGAAAAATCCAGTGGTACTGATATAGGAGAGTTAGAACTCCCAACCTGATATGTTGAGTTCATGTTCCTCAAAGTTGAAGAATGAATTCCAAGGAACAGTGGAGGTTAATAGTGGGAAAGATTTATTGAGAGAGAGATAGGATGCATTCACGAGAGGTGTGTGGGTGCTCAAAGGAATGAGACACGCTGTTGGGAGCTGAGGAATAAGAATGGGAACTAGGAATAGCTCCTGAGAGATAGAAGGGGTCCTGAGTGGGTTGCTGCTGAAGTCATCTCTGAGAATGTTTTATAGGGCGAAGACATGAGGTAGATACAACATGGGTCAAACTGTAATCAACCAGTAAGATTACAAGTATAGCTGATTAGTTAATATTGATCTATTAGTGAAGCAGGACATGTAGCATATGGATGATGACATCATTAACCTCAGTCAATAATCTAGTCTTCGTTTTGTCTTTAATTTTAGTCTTAGTGGTCATAATCTTAGTCTTGGTAGGTGGGAGAGGATGGCCCACCCCTAGTCATATAATAATGATCTATTTCTTTGGGAAATCCCAAAAGGTTGGCACCAATTACATTATAACCTCAAGCTTGTGTTTATCTCTTAGGGAAGTATGTAAATCTGACCTTTGTAACTTTAATCTGGAGGACTTGCCTTCTTCAGTTTTGCCTCCAGCCACAATTTGGATGTGTTCTTATCTGCTCTGACTCCCTCCAGGGCCTAGCCTATTAATTTCTATCTAATTTAGCTGCCTATAATAGTAGTATCTCATTTACCATTAACAACCTTCACCCTTGCCGAAAGACCCTACTCCCACTCTGCTGAGACCTGGTCTTTCCTGAGATCCCTTAGTTTCCTGTATTATGTCAAAAGTTATCTATATTTTTGTTGTCTTCATCTGTCTCAGAGATAATCTTTCTTATGCAGTCACTTTCTTTTCTCTCACAGATTTCAAACATTAGTTTCTCTAGTGTTTTATTAATTTTCATGTAATCATTGCTCACTTTCTATAATTTCCTTCTCTGCCTAAATACACAATCTCTCTTTAGCTAAAGTAAACAGATGTTATTCACCTAACTCATGATTTAAATCATCACCACCTCTTTTTTTTCTGTTACTATTACCAGTTAGCTTGCTTCTAAAAGTGGCTTACCAGCTAAACACTATCAAGTTCTGTGTTGCTCACTTCTCCTGGAGTTAAGATTCCAGGCTCTTCTTGTCTTGAACAAAGAATTGAATAAAGGGAGAAAATAACAGTGGCAAACTTTATTCAAGAAGGTAAAAGTAAAGAGTGGGAGAGAAACTGGCTCTGCAGAGTGAGCTTGGGCCAAGTAAAAAGGTAAAAAACAAGATGAAAGAACACATTGGAGTAAACAGGGTGGGCTATCCTGAGGAAGAGCCACCATAACAAGCTCTTCATGGCTCACCTCTCTTTTTATGCTGTCCAAATCATAAAGTAACCCACAAGAACTTCTGCATATGGATCCTGAGAGGCAGTGGTGGGATCCTACACCTCAGGCTGACATTAGGTCTGGGCCATCCTATTGGAAACCTATATTGAGTTCTCAAGAGAAGTCTGCATGCAGGACTGTGGGAACTGTTCTGTGTATGTGTCTGCGATCTTGTAATTAATAGGTCGGACCTACTTCCCCAGCCATTTTACCACTGCCTACACTCCTGTATCATCATTACTTTGAGCTATCAAGAAGCTTTGAACACCTGAATAATAGAGTAGCTGAGGATTTTACCTTTATATTTAGCTTAAATTTTCATGGGGCGTGATTAGTGTCATAGCAACTGGAGAGTGGAGCAAGCAAATGTTGAGGTTACCTGTGATTATGGTAACCATAGTGCAAGGTTAGTAGGTTTTGTTCCAACTTTAGTCCATAAATATTTATAATTGTTTTCTCTTCCCTGTTGAGTTGTTTCCTTGACAGTATATAAAGCCCATTTTTGTCTTTCCTAATCAGTTTTAGTTTGAAGTCTGTAGTATATGAAAATAATGTAGATACTCCTGCTTGCTTTTGGGCTCTGGTTGAATGGAATATTGATTGTTTTCTATCCTTCGCTTTCAGCCTATGCACTTCCTTTTGGATGCAGTATGCCTCTTGCAGGCAGCATATAATTGATTTTTTTTTTAATATACTAAGGATTGAATCCAAGCCCTTCACACTGAGTTATATCCCCAGCCATTTTTTGTTTTTGTTTTTTTTTCTTAAAGACTGGCTTGGGCCAGGGATTTAGCTCAGTGGTTCTGCCACCTGCCTCGCAAGCACAAGGACCCAAGTTCAGTTCCCGGTACCAGGAAAAAAAAGACTGGCTTTCACTAAGTTGCCCAGGCTAGGTGCAGACTTACAATCCTCCTGCCTCAGCCTCCCAGAGTGCGGGATTTTGTTTTTGGTTGAAAATTCCAGTCTGTTTTTATTGGGAAATCCATTAACATTGCAAGTTATTATTTTAAGGTGATTACTCCAGTCATTGCTTTATTTTCCCAGTACTGATCCTCACCTTTTTTTTTCACCCCCTTCTTTTTCTTTTAAGTACTCTCCAAGTTAGATATGTATAATTTTCTTTGGGTGTTTTGGTGCTGGTGGCCTCCGTTTCTCTGTGCAGGATTCACTTAAGTATTTTATATAGTGCTGGTTGCATGGTCATATAGTTCTTTAGGGATTCTTTGTTATGGAAATTCTTTACTTCTCCAATCTATTTAGAAGGCTAATTTTTCAGGATATAGAATTCAAACAGTTGTTTTCTTTGAGGGCTTGAAAGCTTTGCTCCAAGCTCTCCTGGGCTTGTGCTAAGAAATCTGCAGCTATTCTGGTGAATTTGCCTTAAGTAACTCACTGTTTTTCTCTGATAGCTTTTAGTATTCTCTTTTTGTTGAATTTCTGGAATATTGATTTGATGTATTGTGGAAAGTTTATTTTCTAATTGTGGCTCTTTGGAGTTCTATATGCCACTATACCTAAATGTTTAATTATTTCCCTAAATTTGGAAAATTTTTCTGTGTTTTTGGTGAATAAATTTTTTAAACCTTTTGAGTCATCTTCTGATTTTCCCTTTGTTCTTATAATTTCCTAGGTTGGCTGGTTAACTTTGTTTTGGGGGGAGTTGTGTCTGTTTTGTTTTGTTTTGAGTCATATAGCAGCTGTTGGATCCAGCTTCCAGGATGTCTTACTGTTTTTAGGGTATAACCAACTATGTGATCTACTTCATAAACCTTGTTTTCAAGTTTGACACTCACATAGGTCAAAAACTGCTACTCATGCTTCCCCTTTTATTTTTGTATTCTAAATATCTACATGATTTCATTTTGTAATTTCTCATTGTTGATCAAAATTACCATACATGTTTTGTATTTTCTTGTTTAACTCAGTCAGTATATATATATATTCCATGTGATCAGCTTTTGAAGAATTAAGAGTTTTTGGAGAGGCATCATACTTTTCTGTCTCACATTTCCATTTGCTGTAGATTGAAGATCAGTAATTAAATTAATAAAGCTTAATTGTAATATAGTAAAAATGGAAAGAGTGGGGAAAGGGAAAAGTAAGGAAGAAGTGAATTTTCCAAAAGAAAGAGAAGAGCCAGGCATGGTGGTGCACGCCTGAAATCCCAGCACTTGGGAAGCTGAGGCAGGAGGATTGCTGTGACTTCAAGACTGGCCTGGGCTCCATAGTGAGTTCCAGGGCAGTCTCAAGTACATAGTGAGACCCCGTCTCAAAACACAAACAAACAAACAAATAACAATAACAACAACCAAGAAAAAAAAAGAGAGAGAGAAAGAAAAGGGAAATTATGAGGAGGAAGAGAGAAAAATGAGGTAAAAATCCAATCAAGAATGCAAGAAAATAAATAGAATTAAGTAAAGGTGACAGGAAAAATAACAAGATAAAGAATAAAACAGCAAAACAAATAAATAGCAAACCACCACAAAAAGAAATGAGTCCAAACAAATGGCTCTGCTTTGAGGTATCTGGGTGAGAATTTTCTTTTTGGGGCTTGGATCATTAGAATCTACCTGATATAGGAGAGGGGATAGTGCATCACAATCAAGGGCTATGATGTTACCATACTAAATTTTTGCTGAATATTGCTGAGTCCTGCCCCACCTTTTCCACTCCCAGTAATTGGTCAGCGTTGTGTTTTTTCAAACCTCAGGGCTGTATTTACTCTGTTGGATTTTAAATGTCTATGACCTTTTCAATATGCCATGTCACTGGTATATCCATGTAGCTTTGCTGCTGCCTTTAGGCTTGGAGTGTCCATCTTCCTCCTCCAGAGTTCCCTCTGTCCATACACACCCATGAGTGTGGTAGACATCTAAGCCAAGATGTGTCCGTAATCACATTGGCAGATGGTTACAACAAACAGCCCACTGAGTTCT